TGTGGTCCACTCCCAATAATTGATGAGAAGGTGTCAATGCCAAGAGAGGGAAAACTGCTTTTGTAGTGAGCCAGCCACTCCCAGTCCCTATTCAAGCCCAAATTAATGGTGTGAAGTTTGCAAATGAATTGTAGCTCTGCAGTTTCTCTTTGAAGTCTGTTTTTGAAGTTTTTTTTGTTGAAGGATGGCTACTTTTAAATCTGCTATTGAGTGTCCAGGGAGATTGAAGTGAGGTTATGGGTTAAGTGATGGGGAAAGTGATACACAAAAACAACAAGGAGTCCGGTGGCACCTTAAAGGCTAACAGATTTATTTGTGCATAAGCTTTCGTGGGTAAAAAAACCCCACTTGCAGCATCACTTGCCCCATGACCTCAGCCATACAGAACGCAACGCCATCCACAGCCTCAGAAACAACTCTGACATTATAATTAAACAGTCTGACAAAGGAGGTGCTGTAGTCATCATGAACAGGTTAGATTATGAACAGGAGGCTGCCAGGCAACTCTCCAACACCACATTCTACAGGCCACTATCCTCCAATCCCACTGAGGAGTACCAAAAGAAACTACACCATCTGCTCAAGAAACTCCCTGCTATAGCATGGGAACAAATCTACACAGACACTCCCCTAAAGCCCCAACCAGGTGTATTCTATCTGCTATCCAAGATCCATAAATCTGGAAATCCTGGAAGCTCCATCATCTCAGGCATTGGCACTCTTACAGCAGGATTATCTGGCTATTTGGACTCTCTCCTCAGACCCTACGCTACCAGCACTCCTAGCTATCTTCGAGACACCACCGACTTCCTGAGGAAACTATAATTCATTGGTGATCTTCCTGAAAACACCATCCTGGCCACCATGGATGTAAAAGCTCTTTACACCAATATTCCACATGAGGACGGACTACAAGCTGTCGGAACAGTATCCCTGATGAGGCCACGGCACACCTGGTGGCTGAGCTTCGTGACTTTGTCCTCACCCACAACCATTTCAGATTTGGGGACAACTTATACCCTCAAGTCAGCAGCACTGCTATGGGTACCTGCATGGCCCCGCAGTATGCCAACATTTTTAAGGCTGACTTAGAACAACGCTTCCTCAGCTCTCGTTCCCTAGCGCCCTTCCTCTACATGTGCTACATTGATGACATCTTCATCTTATGGACCCATGGGAAGGAGGTCCTTGAAGAATTCCACCTGGATTTCAACAATTTCCACCCCACCATCAACCTCAGCCTGGACCAGTCCACATAAGAGATCCACTTCCTGGACACTACAGTGCAAATAAGTGATGGTCACATAAACACCACCCTATACCAGAAACCTACTGACCACTATACTTACATACATGCCTCCAGCTTCCATCCAGGACACATCACATGATCCATTGTCTACAGCCAAGCTCTAAGATACAACCACATTTGCTCCAATCCCTCAGACAGAGACAAACACCTACAAGATCTTTATCAAGCATTCTTAAAACTACAATACCCACCTGGGGAAGTGAGGAAACAGATTGACAGAGCGAGACGGGTACCCAGAAGTCACCTGCTACAGGACAGGCCCAACAAGAAAAATATAACAGAACACCACTGGCCATCACATACAGCCCCCAGCTAAAACCTCTCCAGCACATCATCAACGATCTACAACCTATCCTGGAAAACGATCCCTCACTCTCACACACCTTGGGAGGCAGGCCAGTCCTCGCTTACAGACAGCCCCCCAACCTGAAGCAAATACTCACCAGCAACTACACACCACACCACAGAAACACTAACCCAGGAACTAATCCCTTTAACAAACCCCGTTGCCTACTCTGTCCCAATATCTACTCTAGTGACACCATCATAGGACCCAAGCACGTCAGCCACGCCATCAGGGGCTCATTCACCTGCACATCTACTAATGTGATATATGCCATCATGTGCCAGCAATGCCCCTCTGCCATGTACATTGGCCAAACCGGACAGTCTCTACGTAAAAGAATAAATGGACACAAATCAGACATCAGGAATGGTAACATACAAAAGCCAGTAGGAGAACACTTCAGTCTCCCTGGACATTCAATAACAGATTTAAAAGTAGCCATCCTTCAACAAAAAAACTTTCAAAAACAGACTTCAAAGAGAAACTGCAGAGTTACAATTCATTTGCAAACTTAACACCATTAATTTGGGCTTGAATAGGGACTGTGAGTGGCTGGCTCACTACAAAAGCAATTTTCCCTCTCTGGGTATTGACACCTCCTCATCAATTATTGGGAGTGGACCACATCCACCCTGACTAAATTGGCCTTGTCAATACTGGTTCTCCACTTGTAAGGTAACTCCCTTCTCTTCATGTGCCAGGATATTTATGCCTGTATCTGTAATTTTCACTCTATGCATCTGAAGAAGTGAGGTTTTTTACCCACGAAAGTTTATGCCCAAATAAATCTGTTAGTCTTTAAGGTGCCACCGGACTCCTTGTTGTTTTTGTGGATACAGACTAACACGGCTACCCCCTGATACTTGGAACCTATAGCAGTAATGTTACAAATATAAAATGTATCCCTTAAATTTCATAAGTACACCTCACCAAATTTACCTATCTATCATTCTGTTCCTGTTCTTTAAGGTTACATTTTTGATTAAAATCATCAAACAACCTCCAACTCCAAATTACAACCAACTGGCAGGACACTGAACAGGGAGCAACTCTCAAATATCAGGGCAGTTTTAAAGACAGTGCTGGAGGATGCTCAAAAGATGTGAACATTCAGATATCAGAAGCTGCAGTCATGTTTCAGGCCCTTCAGCAGCCTCTGCGTGGACACTGTGATGTCAAGCTTGCCACAAAGCTGCTGACCTACAGAACCACAGTTATATTAACTTTATTGTACAAAAGTGAAGCATGGGCACCGAGGACGGTGAAGAACACTGGATTGATATTATCAATTCTTGTCATCTTTGTCAGCTGTTCCACATTAAGTGGCAGGACAAGATCAGAAATGAAGATATTCTAAGTTGAACCCACTAAATATCTCCATTAGTACTGGTTCAGTTCTGGCGGCTTTCTTGGTATGGGCATATTATTAAAATGGAATACACCAAGGAATGCTGTTACACAGCCAGTGATCATGTGGGTGGCAAAAAATTTGGTGGCATGATAAGATTGTCAGTGATGTACAGAAATTAAATATTCAGCCAGATCATCTTAAGGACTTACCCAGGGATTGATCCAGGTGGCACTTGATCTGCCAAGAGGATACATCCCTTTAGGATGTGATTTACCATGACGATGATTCCATTCTTGTTCTTTAAGCTTACATTTTTGATTAAAAACAACACAAACAAAAAACAAACAAAACCATTGCTTGGGCCCTGAGCAATCTTTACCCCAAATGGCAAAACACAGTCCTGCTGATGTGCACATATATGTAATACTCTGCTACTGAAGACAAAAGTTTGGATAACAGTCCTCCTGTCGGGTTTCGTGATAAGGAAACAATCCTTGAACTTCTCCACTAAAGTGAAAAGGGGCTGCATCTCCCTCAAATGATAAGATCTACCCATGAGAAAGTGCCACCAGATGGCTCCCTACAAAGAAAGACACTACTACAAAAGGAAGCACTGCTGGGGCAGGCTCCCAAGAAGACTTCATTGCTAAAGAGGTATCGAGCAGCAGCAGAGTTAATTCTGCTGGGGACAAAGAAGAGTATGTGCCTGTGCATTCACATGCATGGATTTGGTACTGTATGAGATGCTGTAAAAAAATATTTCAGAAAGTCCAGCAGGAAGAGGTTGGGGAGCCACCCCCTGAGGTAAGGACTATGCTGGAGCCCTGGTTTTGTGAGCCATGGTGTGAGGGAGAAAAACGAAATCAAGATGGAATTGATTTGGATGTTGCAAGAGAAACAGTTGCTGGTTGGGGAAAACTCTACTATGTGGAATGTGCTGGGGTAATAAATTTTAAAAAACAGTGTCAGCCTACACTTTTACAACTTTAAAACACCTACCACCACCACCACATGTTTATTAACATTCACATTGCTAAAGACATCGTACCAACACATCAGCTGCTCCTTCAAGAAGCAGAGTAAGAAAAGGTGCACAGACACCTGCTACCTTGCTCAACAGGAGGGTAACTTGATAGGAGCAGCACTGTGGTGAACAGAAGGAAGGAAGGGGGAGTACATGTTGGGGGAAATGCAATGGTGGCCCCTTCTTCTCCACAGACTCTCTGCCTCTCATTAGCCGGACAGAGGAAAACAGGAGCTGATCGGCACCTCACTCCCTCCCCTCATTAATTTAAACATTTTTCTGGGTATTTTGGACTCTCTCACTCCATTTCAGCTTTCCCACCCGCCCTCCCTGTGGCTGTAGTATAGAAGCTGTGTTTTTAGGATGCTGTAGGTATGGGTCAGGAAGAATTTTTTTCCCATTTGAGACTTGGTGGGTTCTTTCACTTTCCTCACACCGGCACGGAGGCACAGTTAGGTTAAATAGGAGTAGGACTATGAAATATTATTGATTCTTGCCTGCATATTTATACCTGCCTCTGGAAATTTCCACCACATGCGTCTGATGAAGTGGGTATTCACCCACGAAAGCTTATGCTCCAGTACGTCTGTTAGTCTATAAGGTGCCACAGGACTCTTTGTCGCTTTTTACAGATCCAGACTAACACGGTTACCCCTCTGATACAGGAAATATTAGTAATTTGTATAAAGGTTTAGTTCATTGCAATTTGCAGTCCAGTGCAGAGAAAAGGCCAAAAAAGCCAGCTCCCAGAAGTAAGAGACCTGCGATTTCACTGGTGGATCTTTGTGACTGTGGGAGAAGGAGAGACAGGAAGTCTTCACAGTCTCTTTGGTACCTTCTTTGGTATCCTTGCAGGGGGCAGGGTGAGAGGATCAAAACGATTGAGCTGAAACGTAGGGGTAGGCTGAGGATAGTCTACCCTGAGTGATGGATTATAGGACTCCTACCATAAAACCCCCATACTGGACACATTTAAAGGCCTGGTACATGAGAGTCGGGGGAGACATGGCAGATAGCGTACTTCCTCAGTATTATGTTAATAAAGTTGCAGCCTGCTGCTTAAATCTATCTGTTTCTGTCCTCATTTATCTGCATGTCCTAATCAACAAACTCCCTACATTTTCACAAATATAAGCAACAAAATAAGGCAAACATGCAAAACCAAGAGTTGCTAATTTTTGTGCTCCTATAGCTCAAGATGAATTTATAAGCCATTAATTTGTAGTATAGACTACATTTCTTTTAGGCATTTAAAATCCTAACAATGAAATCCATTAGACTGCAGAATAGTCTTCCAAGAGAAGCCTCATAACCACAATTACTTAAAAGCTCAAGCTCTAATTTCTCTGATTACATGAAATGACTGCTACAGCAGTCAACCATTTTTCTAACACCAGCATCTCCAATTACTGAGTGGTAGCAGAATTCTGCAACCTTGCAGGGTAGCTTTCCAGTCAAAGAGAAAATGAATGATGTCAAATCTGGGTATTCTGTGTGTAACTTGTTTTATTTACATATATATACACTAGACCTGAAACAGAGGCAGTCAGAAATGGCATGCAAGAAATCCCCTCTTACAGAAATCTCAGTCCACACACCAACACCCATTTCCCAGGAAGCTACTTTATTCCAAGAATGGCCTCTTAATATAGAGAACAAAGAAGATAGCAATCTCTCTGCTATCTGCCACAGCTTCTCTTAAAGAACTACCGCATAACACTGCATAAAAAAACTAGTCGGAAATTATTTCTTCAAAAACTAAAAGCTTGCTTTCAGACTATGATAAAGAATTTTGAAGACTGCAACAATGCCACCTAGTGACTTCTGTCAAAAGTATACTCCTGGGGGAATTCTGCACCACTGCACAATGCAGAATTTTGCAGAGTTCCTTGTTTCCCCTGCAGAATTGCTGGCCACCACTAGGAGCTGCTGGACTCTGCAGAGCCCAGTTTGCAGTGAGCAGAGCGCCCAGCCTGATGGAGCTGGAGGCTGCATGCTCTTTGATCCTCATTCTCCTGGGAGGGGAGTGGGCCTGGGAGACCCAGCCAGCTCTGGCAAAGGGTGAGGAAGGGCAGGGCAGGGCCGCACCACACCGCACCATGTCCCCCTGCAGGACAGTAAAGAAGTTGGGAGGAGTAAAGGCTCTGGGGGTGCTGGTGTCTAGGACGGGGGATGCCCTGCGGATGGGCTCTGGAGGGAGGAGAGTGCTGGTGTCTGGGCCGGGGGATGCCCCGTGGCTGCGATATGGGAGGGATGGGAGTGCAGGCATCTGGGCTCTGGGCCCCCCCCCCCCACAGCCCCTCCCCCAACTGGAACTGGGTTGTTGTAGGGGTTTCTTTAACTCTCTACTCCTGAGGGAATCTTTTTTGCTGTTGTCTGTATTGTTGACATACTTTTTGACAGGTATTTTGAAATAAATTACCAAAAAAATTGAAACTGGAGTGAGTATATTGTGTTATTTTGACAAAATATGCAGAATTTTAAAATACTGTGCATGGAATTTTTTGCAGCAGAATTCCTCCAGGAGTAAAAGTATTCAAATTTTCTCAATACGAATTTTTTGAAAATTAATTTCAGTATGTAATATCACCACACAACAGCAAGAACAGAGCTGTTGATAAATAGTCTATTTCTGATAGAGCAAAAATACTGCAATTTCTTGTTTTTTTAAGTCCCATATCCTATTGTGTCTATCTGTTTAACCCCATTATTGTGGTATCAGGGGGACAGAAATGCTAGCATGACGTCCCAGCAAACATTAAGCCAGGGGTAGGCAAACTACGGCCCAGGGCCAGATCCGACCCCTCAGGGCTTTGGATCCTGCCCGCGGGATTGCCCCCTGTGGCGCCGTGGGCCCCGCACCGCTCTCAGAAGTGGCAGGCACCACTTCCCTGCGGCCCACGGGTGGGGGGGTCAGAGGGCTCCGTGCGTTGCCCTTGCCTCCAGGCACTGCCCCCTGCAGCTC